TGGTCCACCCCGATTCTACGCGCGTTGGGATTATGGGTATGCCACAGGCTTCTTCGCAGTTTCCTGTCATTTCTGCTCTCCTTGTAAAACTTGGACCTTCGACTGATGTGCATATCGAGGTTGTTTCGCTGGCTTCAAATTGTCAAAAAAATCGCGAAAAGTGAAGGTTTACTCTGCAAGGTTAGTTTAGAAGTACATGTAAGTTTAACAAATCGACGTTAGTTTTTCATGCGTCTGTCCTTTTATTGACGATAACTTTCGTCATAACATTGTCAAAGTGGTTCTGCAGAAAAACTTTGACATTGTTATGACGCAATTTATCGTCAATAAGAGGACAGACGCATAAAAAACTGACGTCAATTTGTTTTTTTACAATAACAAGACCCCAAAATGGTCAATTGTCGGGAATAAATGAGGGGAAAAAACGCCGTAAACTTGACGTAAACAAAGATGAGTGAATTTTTTTAAAATGACGCGAACATTGTCAATAGCTTTTCTCGCTTTTTGATTGGATACTTAAAAAAGTCAATAAATCCTCAGTGGTTAAAAAGTTGATAGTTTGACAGCTGAAAGTTGAACTTGAAAGCTGCGCTTGCGTAAATTAAAATTTTATCCATCTGTACTCTTATTGATGATAAAAATGAGCCAATCAGCGCGCGAGAAATTAGACAGTTATTGTATAATTTTAATACTTACATGTTCTTTCTGTCAGCGTGAATATTTTTGTTTCGTGTTTTACGGCTCATTAGGGAACTTAAGCAACGACGACGACGCCGAGGACGACGCCTAGTAAAAAATGAATTTATATTTTACGAGCGAAATTCGCGATTGTCTAGATCTATTAATTCGGTACGCCGATGGCTCTAAAAACGTGTTTAAGCTAAATATGCAACGACGGCGTTCAATTCCAAATCGAAATATGAAAAATTAGCCGTCGTCGTCCACGTTCCGTAGACGACGCAGAACTTGGTCATTTCACGTTGTTGTTTTGCAGAGGACGGCAAATAAATGTATAAAGATTTATAACGCACGCGCACAGCTATTGTTTTGCCCATTAAGCCTTTTGTTTGGTGACGTTCTCGTTGCTTAAGCTCCCTATTGTTCTGTTTACAACCGCAGTATGATCACTTCTGCTTTGACAGTGCACACGTCCAACATTCTACGCTATTTCAATGACCTCCAATCACTGTTTGAAAACTTTTGGTGCTTCCCGATCGAGATTGTTCTCATCTACAAATCTTAAGCTCTGAAATTTAAAGCGAGCCTTTCAGATTATGGTGGAATCTCGATTTCTTAGTTCGACCCCTCAGTTTCTCGAACCACCGAAAGTCGTCCGTTTTCCTGCCCTCACTCGAACACTGTAATCTTACCCCAATTCCAATTTTCGTTTCTCTTGGAGGTTCGAAAAATCGAGATTCCTCTGTATAATCCATTTCAAGGTAGGTTAGTTTACAAACAAAATGTCTTTGAACTTGCATGGAAACTGGGCTGAAATTTCTCAGGCAGTTTTAAGGGCCTCTTCATATGAGTCCGGTCAACCGGGCTGGCTCCTGGTTTCCGAGATCTCGCCTCGCTTCTCTTTCCTTCGTAAAAATTTCGATGTGTTCATATGAGAAGCCAGGCTGGCCCGGTCACCGAGATCTCGGTAACCAGGATGAAAATTTTGCCATATGAACACTCCAGCCCGAGTAACCGGGACGCAACTGTTTAGACGAAATAGCTTCGTTTTCGCAACATAGCGGCCAAAATGGCATAATTTTTCCCTTGTATGTATTTCCACTTTAGGCTTATTAGTAAAGTTACAAGAGTCTACAAAGCTGCGACAGCCGCGAACGATACAGGTTTATGTTCCACCATTTTGGTTGTGTTTCTTGGATTTTATCCCGGTAGACCGGGCTGAAATTTCCCATATGAACAGACAACAAAATTCGTCCCAGTTACCGGGCTCATATATATGAAGAGGCCCTAAGTCAGTTTTAGGTTATTATTAGCCCACATGTAAACAAGCAACGAAAATGTCAGCAAAATGCTTGGAATGATTTTTGTGAGAGTTTAATATTATCTACAGAGGTCCTAACGCAATGAAGCTGTGTATTACTATCCAGGATGGTACCTTCGATCCTTAAAATTAATACTCACTTTCAATTGCCGGTAAGCGGTTAAAGCTTATACTGACTGCAAGCTTTAGTAAAATTTAGCGTATAGAGCGTTTTCACTCACATGACCAGCAGCTGCGCAAATTTATTGGAACAAAAGAAAGTGTTTACATAAGAAAAGAGTTGAACTCCCACAGGATTGGTTTGGTACACCAACATGACCACCGTTTCATTGTTTTGGAACTCCAAGATGGCTGCCTTGACGTCATATGAAAACGCTCTGTATGATAAGACTATCAGTTTCAGGGTTGTGAGCGAAGTTTCCGCTGAAATTATGAACGATTTTACGTGTGGTTATGTCATAAGTCACCAAAGGCATTTTTGAGTGGGGGGGGGG